TGACAGAGAGAGACACAGCGACAGAGGGAACACAAGCAGGGGGAGCGGGAGAGGAAGAAGCAGGCTTCCCACTGAGCAGGGAGCCCGATGCGGGACTCGATTCCAGGACCCTGGGATCATGACCTGAGTCGAAGGCAGATGCTTAATGACTGAGCCATCCAGGCGCCCTGCCAGTGCCCTTTTTAAAACAGGTTTCCCCCCATATATTTTGCCTGGTTTTCTAGTTGTTTATGGTGGGAGGACAATTTCCATAACAGTAATCCTTTGTGGGCAGACACAGAAGTCCCTTGTAGGGTAGTTTTACATGTGCTTCTCCAGGGCCCCAGACATTGGCCATTTTTATGGGAACTTTTGGCTTGAGATTCCTACACCATGTGGTGCTGTAAATTTGGACCCCACAAGCATGCAATGCTGGCTTGAGGAATCCGTTAACTTTGTTTTTCTACCCAGAACCACCCCCAGGCAGATGGCAGGCTTCCGTGTAGCTTCTCCCCATCAGTTGGTGATATTTTTACCGTTCCCAATTTTTTGACTAAGCTACCCTTCACGTACCCCGGTTTGTGCAGGACCTTATATACAGCTGCACATCTTCAACAGTCGGAGCCACGTCTCTTGTTCTGACGTGGGTGTTAACTCTAGTCCCAGGCCAGAGGGGCTTTATCTAGGTAGAATTAATACTTTTGCATTATGGCATCTGTGCATATTTGACTTTTAGGTACTTGTGATGTTTTAGATCATTTATCCCAGTAATAGCTCAGCTTTATGATTTTAACTTACAATGTTTAACTGATTGTGATTTTGTGTTGAAGCCTTACTGAGTTTATATACAAAATGAGAACATTTAAGAGAACTCAAATTTTCCATTTCAATATGCTTAGTTTCATAGGTAATTAAAGTTATTTAAGTTTTTGGAAAGTTTTTGTTTGTTATGTCAGATGATAGTAGTACCTAAAATGGAAAGCCAATAGATTAATTTATAAATACAGTTTAATAAGTCAGAGGGAATTTAGATATACTATTAAGGCACTCTTAACTCTTTTCAATGGCTAGATTTTTAAATAGAAAAATAAGATTTTAAAGCTAACCTTCAAGGATTTAGGAAGATCTAGATTTTTAAATTTATTACTTTAATAGATTGAATATTAATCTTATAAAACAAAACTCTGAATAGTCTTTTTTGTGTTCCAATATGATTCTCTGTGTACCAGTAGCTCACATTTAGCAGGTCCAGATTCATGCATTCTCATGAGTTAGAAAGACTTTCAGCATCATTAAATTGATAGATCTATACTTTTGTTCTATTTTCCCCTGTAGAAACAGCAGCTTTTTACATAAGCCATCAAATCATAATGTAGTGATTTAGTTTGGTTGTTAAAATGGTTGAAATAATTCTTATTTTTTGGGCGAGAGAGCGGGGGTGGGGGGTGGTGCAGGAGGGGCAGAAGGAGAGAGAGAAAATCTTAAGCAGGCCTTACACCCAGTGTGGAGCCTGACGTGGGGCTCCATCTCACGACCCTCAGATCATGACCTGAGCTGAAATCAAGAGTCAGACACTTAACCGACTGAGCCATCCAGGCGCCTGTGAAATACTTCTTATAACCATCTTGTTGAGGAGTCTCAGCTTATGGAGCTATGAGTATGAAAGCATTTTTCTCCCTTGCTGCCACCTTGTTTCATCAAGTCCCTCTGGACTGGATGGCAGGGATCTCAGTGATGGACACTTTGATTTCACAAATTTTCACACAATTTCAGAACTTAGGACATACTGTTTTAAAATTGTATTTTCATTGGATTCAATGTCCTTCTTGTTTTCTCTCTGGTCTGGGCTCCAGAGATACATGGAACTCGGGGCCGGGGTAGCAGGTTCTGCTCACACACACACCTCCCTTCTTCCCTTCCCCCCACACTGGTGACTTTGCTGCTGGTTCTTAAGAGGGGTGCATTTGGGGTTCTGAGGAGAGTCTTGGGGGCCTCTCACCTGCACAGCTCCTGCTTTTCTCCTTTCTCCTCTCTTCAACTCCCCTGCTGGTGTCCACTTTCCTTTGGTCCCCTTGTCCAGAGAGAGCCCTCTTGCTGAAGGAGGTAAAGCTTCAGACTGCTCAAGGTCAGCTGCCCTTGGCAGGGTCCCTTTGACCCTCGAGAAGCTCATCTACTTGCCATGCCTGTTAGCAACAGCACAGCATCTCTCTGCTGCCTGGTGTTCAATGTCATGGCAACAGCAGGGGGCACTTGGCTGCACAAGGGAATCAGACGAGAGGCAATTTCTAGTCCTGAACTTTGCAAAGGAGAGGATGCGTAGGTGTACCTCCAAACTTATAAGGGAGTCTGTTGTCCCATCCCTGACCTTTGGCAGGAGGATGGAAAAGGGAAACCTCTTATCATAACTGTTTTCCTCCAGTGGTGTGTGAGTGAGCACAAGTGTGCATGTTTGTGTGTGTGTGTGTAGGGGGTGTGGGTGTGTGATGGTGATGGCGGTGGTTGTGGGGAGAGATGGGGGGAGAACCAAATTTCCTAAAGCATAATGCTGCCTGTCAGCAAGCCCTGCAAAGAGGGGTGGCTCCAAAGCTGGCAGTTCTCTGAACTCAGAATCAGGGTTCTTTTCTTCTAGCTGTGCGCCCTTAGTCGACAATTCTGGCAGTAGACTCCCACACTGTCTTATTATCCTTAACTGACACATTACATGCAATTACTTTGGGTATCTTAACAATGGAATCGACTTGATTGTACAGTAAGCCACCAGATGTACAGTGACAGAGCAATTTCACACCCCTGACCCTCAGTTGACCTTGGATGGCTCATCTGATCATGCTAGGAAGGTACTGCTTTTTTTTTTTTTTTTAAAGATTTTATTTATTTATTTGAGAGAGAGAATGAGACAGCATGAGAGAGGGGAGGGTCAGAGGGAGAAGCAGACTCCCTGCCGAGCAGGGAGCCCGATGCGGGACTCGATCCCGGGATTCCGGGATCATGACCTGAGCTGAAGGCAGTCGCCCAACCAACTGAGCCACCGAGGCGCCCTGGAAGGTACTGCTTTAATCAAAAGGAATTTAAATCAGAAGATGTGCTATAAGATGCGGTGGGAAGGATGCAGCAGAGACCACGCCACTGAGCAGCCAAACAGGAAGAATGAGAAAAACACTGATGGGAAAGAGGAGAGGTGTGAGGATTGTTTATTAATATGGAGGAGGCTCCAAATCACAAGACCGCCAACAGAAATGCAGGTCACTATCATTAACAACACACAAAATATACCACTTGGCTTAACAATTCGTCCTCCTTTTGACAGGATGAAGTATGATCGCAACCCATGAGAATTTCCTGGGAAAGGTCTAGCCAAGTCCAAACGCTGTTCCACAACACATTCATCTGCTCTCTGACCATCATTCAACATCCCTCTGGCTTTATTCTGGTCTTTTCCTTAAAACCGTTTCCTAATATTTGTGCTACCAATGGCATTTTCTTTTTTTTTTTTTTTTTAAGATTTTATTTATTTATTCATGATAGACAGAGAGAGAGAGAGAGAGAAACAGAGGGAGAAGCAGGCTCCCAAGGAGCAGGGAGCCTGATGCGGGACTCGATCCCAGGACCCTGGGATCATGACCTGAGCCGAAGGCAGACATTTAACCATCTGAGCCACCCAGGCGCCCCCAATGGCATTTTCTTAACGCAGAATTTGTAGATAAAGAAAAACTATTAAAATGTTGTTAGTTGATGCTTCTTTATATGAATAAGAGATTGACAATTTCCCCCCGAGCCAGCACAGAAATAGGGAGTAGAAAGCAGGAAGGCTTCCTTACACTTAACCCAAGCCATTCGCACACAAGTAACACAAGGCAGCTCAGCGCAGCTCCCCTCGAGCCACCTCCTCGTCACTTGGCCTTCTTGTGGCCTTTCTGGGGCTGCTCAGTGGCCTTCCTTGCCTCCTCCTCCGGGATGAACACACTGATAGTGAAGTCGCTTATCTCTGAGCCATACTTGTTCTTCACAACCAGCCCGTATTTGCCGGAGTCGGCGGTGCTCACCCCACTGACGGTGAAGTAGGCAGTCTTGCCGGCCTCGAACTTGACGCTACAGTGGTCATCCGGGACCAGGGGCTTCTCATTCTTTAACCAGGAAACCTCTGGAGTTGGGTCGCCCCAAACGATGCAGGTGAGATTAAGCGCCTGCAAAACACGTTTTATGAGAGGGAAGGAGATAGATCAGGTACCATGATCCAGCTTCAAGAACCCTTCTGGTGGTTTGGCAGGAGCTGAAGGAGGATAAATATAAAGCCCCTGGAATGATGGGTAGAGTTATGTGGGGTATGCACCTGCATGAATTACAAATTGACTTCAGTCCTAGCTAGGTTTCTGGACCTAGAGACCTCAGCTTTCTGGCTTTGGGGAGGCTTATCATCAAAGCCACACGGAGTTTGCTTCCAGTTCCCAGCTGCACTCTTGCTTTCATAAACACATAGATGCCTTTTGCTCTCATGTGGCATTTGGATTCTGTCTCACTAGAGAAATCTCATTGCCATAATCACCACCTGCTCATTTTGCATTTCGTCTGCCTCCCAGAGCCCAGCAGCAGAATCATGACTACTGTTTCATATAATGGGATTCATTTTCAGGTTCCATCTCCCTCCTTTTATTTCTCCCCTCAAACCCCACCCAGTCTGTTGTAGTTGCAAAGGTGCCCTACCAGAATGTATTCCTATTTCCTGATATTTTATTATATCACCATCTGTGCTGAAACCCTCTTACTTTAAAAGATCAATGTTTGGGCCTATAGTTTTACTTTACCATACTTTTTTTTGTTGAAAAATTTAAGGATAATTGTAGATTCAGAAATGGCTGTAAAAAATAATAGAGAGATTGTATGTGCCCTTACCCAGTTTCGCCCAACAGTAACACTTTACAAAACTATAGTGTAATAACACAACCAGTACATTGACAGTGATGCAATCCACAGTTATTATTCAGATCTCCCCAGTTTGGCCTATACTCATTGGTGCTTGTTTGTGTGGGGTTCTATTCAATTTTATCCCTTGTCCTAGCTCCTCTCAGTCAAGAGAAGGAACGTTTCCGTCACAAGGATCTCTCATGTTGCCCTTTATACCCACACCCACACCCTGCCCACAACCTCCCAACCTCATTTCTAACTCCTGGTAACCACCAATCCATTTTCCATTTCTAAAACTGTGTAATTTCCAAAGCATTATATAAATAGCATTGTATAGCATGTAACTTTTTGACACTGCCTTTTCTACTTGGCATAATTCCTTGCAGATTCATCCAAGTTACTGCAGGGATCAACAGTTTGTCCCTCTGTATGGCTCAGTATTGTGCCATGGTGTATATATATATATATGTATATGTATATATAGATATATACTTATAAAGGTCATCTGGGCTGTTTCCAGTTTGGGGCTGTTATGAATAAAGCTGCTATTGAATATATACAGGTTTTTCTGTGAACATAAATGTTAATTTCTTTATGATAAATGACCAGGAGTACAACTACTGGGTCATATGATAAATGTATGTTTTCTTTTTTGAGAAATTGCCAAACTGTTTTCACGAGTGGCTATACAATCTTGGCTTACATTTCTACCAGCAATGTATGAGTGATTCTGTTTCTCTGCATCCTTATCAGCATTTGTTGTTGTCACTGTTTTTATTTTAGCAATTCTGATAGGTGTTATGATATTTCACTGTGGTTTTAATTTGCATTTCTCTGATGGCCAACAATGTTGAATTTACTTCACATTTTATTTTATTTTTTTTAAAGATTTTATTTATTTGACAGAGAGAGACACAGCGAGAGAGGCAACACAAGCAGGGGGAGTGGGGGAGGGAGAAGCAGGCTGTCTGCTGAGCAGGGAGCCCGATGTGGGGCTCGATCCCAGGACCCCGGGATCGTGACCTGAACCGAAGGCAGACGCTCAATGACTGAGCCACCCAGGCGCCCCTACTTCACATTTTAAATTCCATTCTTGCATTTTTTTTTCTTACCGAAATCCAGAAAGTATAAGGAAAAGAACTAGGGCTCACAATATACAGGAAAGGGATATTCTTCTAAATATCCCTCTAAAGGGTCTTATAGGATCACTTATTACCTCTTCTATAAGAATATTGGGTTTTTTTTAAAGATTTTATTAATTTATTTGACAGAGAGAGACAAAGCGAGAGAAGGAACACAAGCAGGGGGAATGGGAGAGGGAGAAGCAGCCTTCCCGCTGAGCAGGGAGCCTGATGCGATGCAGGGGTCCATCCCAGGACCCTGGGATCATGACCTGAGCCGAAGGCAGATGCATAACAACTGAGCCACCCAGGCGCCCCAAGAGTATTGTTTAAAACTGGGAGATTAAGAAATCTTTTCCCTTCCATGGTTAATTAGCATTTCTTACTGAATTATCCTATAAACACATTTCAGCAAGAAAAATAGGCTATTGCCATCAAACTTACCCAAGTGGACCTGGGGTTAAAACTTTTATTTTTCTTTTTTCTCTTTAAGTAAGCTCCATGCCCAACGTGGGGCTTGAACTCATGAGCCTGAGATCAAGAGTTGCATGCTCTACTGACTGAGCCAGCCAGGTGCCCCTTGGGGGTTAAAACTTTTAACAAAACCAAACCAAACTCCCAAATACTTTAGGTGTCACGGAAAACTACTATCCATACTTTAGATTTATTTCTGTTATAGATCACAAAGTCCTTTCCCACACATTCTCTCTCCAAATTCTCACTACAACCCAGTGAGCTGAATATTGTGAACCCCATTAAATGAGGAACATGAAAAACAGAGTTTAAAGACAAAAGCAACCTTGCAATGGTTGAGCTTCAGGTCGGCTGTGGTCATATATATTCCACCCATGAAGAAATGCAGCTGGATGAAACCTGCCTCTCACTAAAGCCTTTCCACATGCCTTGTTTTATCCCTAGTCTACCTATCATATGTCTTCATTGGGAAAAGGTTTTGTTTCACTACAAGTACCTGTCCATTATGGCTGGCTTATTGAATTTGTCTTAATGAAACAGAGGGATGAAGAAAGTGAATCCAGGTTAGAAATTATGTTCATTGCTTTTGAAACAGAGGGATGAAGA